TGAAGAGAGCCAGACAAGATCCCCTACTTTGTAAGGAGGGGGAATTCTTCTTCTATTGTCAAAAAACTTTTTCTGGTAGTTTTGAGCAAGTTGAAGATTCTCCCGTAATTTGAGAAATAGAGAAGACATAAATTCGTTTTTTGATGTAACAGTAGGATTGGATGAAGTAATGGTTTGGATGGGGAATGAAGACGGATGCAAACCATAGTTGGAGAAGAAAGGAGTCATTTTCGTACTAGAATGAATGGTATTATTGTAAGAAAATTCGGCCATAGGTAACCATGTGGTCCAGTCATCTTGGAGGTATGAACAATAACATCGAAGATATTGTTCCAAACATTGATTAACCCTTTCTGTTTGCCCATTAGTTTGGGGATGATAAGCGGAAGAGAGTTTGCGTTGAATTTGAAGGGAGAGACACATCTCTTTCCAGAATTTGGAGGTAAATTGTGTCCCCCTATCAGAAATAATTTCTTCAGGAAGACCATGAAGTTTCACAATATTGTCAATAAAGACTTTGGACAATTCTACAGAGGAGGGTAATTTTTTTAAAGAAATGAAATGGGACATTTTTGTGAAGCGATCCACAACGACAAGAATAGTGGTGAAATGTTGAGAAGGTGGAAGATCAACGATAAAATCCATAGAAATGGATTGCCAAGGTTTTTCTGGAATAGGTAAGTTAAGTAGTAATCCAAAAGGTTGATTATGTTCTGGTTTAGACCTTTGACAAATAGGACATGTTTTGACATATAATTCAATGGTTCTATCCTGGCGAGGCCACCAATAATATCGTGAAGTTAGTTCAAGTGTTTTCTTTATTCCAGGATGTCCAGCTAGGGGGGAATCATGAACCATCTTAAGTAATTTATTCCTAAGAATGGGAGGAATATAAATTCTATTTTTAAAATAAAATATACCATCCTTTTTTGTTAGTATAGCTGTTTTGGGAAGTTCAAGATCCTTCTGATTCAAATTCTTTATGTCATCATGAAGAGAAGAGAGGATCCCTATTATTTTGGTAGGAGGATAATCATCAGTAGTAGTTTTAGAAGGAATTCGAGAAAGAGCGTCAGCCTTTTTATTCCTATTTCCAGGTCTGTATATTAATTGGAAGTTAAATCGGTTAAAAAATAGGTTCCATCTAACTTGTCTAGCTGTAAGGGTTTTGTTAGTATAGAGATATTCAAGATTTTTATGGTCAGTATAAACGATTATAGGTTGTTTTGTATCTTCCAGAAGATGACGCCAATTTTCGAAGGCAGCTTTAACACTTAATAATTCTTTTTCACCAATAGGATAATTTTTTTCAGCAGAGCTCAGGGATTTTGAAAAAAAGGCAACTGGATGAAGTGGATCTTGTGGAGTCTTTTGTTGAGAAAGAACTGCTCCGATGGCTGCATCTGATGCATCAACCTCAAGAACATATAGGAATGTTGGATTAGGTAGTTGTAGAATAGGTGCAGTTGTAAATCTTTTTTTTTAATTCTTCGAAGGCTGTTTGTGCATCTTTATTCCAATTAAAAGGACGTTTACTACTGTTGAGGAGGTTAAGAGGATGTGATACATCCGAATAGTTTCTAATAAATTTTCTATAGAAGTTTGCAAATCCAAGAAAACGTTGTAATTCTTTTGTAGTAGTAGGAGCAGGCCAATCAATAATACATTTGATTTTGGAATTATCCATCTTCAAAGAATGAGGTGAAATAATGTATCCTAGAAAAGAGAATTCAGTAACCTCAAAAAGGCATTTTTCTGGTTTAGCGTATAATTTATGAGTTCTCAGTCTAGATAGAACCCATCTAACATGCTTCCTATGTTCATCCAAATTGTTAGAATATATTAAGATATCATCTAAATAGATAATAACACATACATCCAGAAGATCTCTAAAGATATCATTTATAAAATGTTGAAATGTTGCAGGGGCATTACAGAGCCCGAAAGGCATCACTAGATATTCGTAGAGACCATATCTTGTCCGGAAGGCGGTTTTCCATTCATCATCCTGTTTTATTCTAATGAGGTTATATGCGCCTCGAAGGTCGAGTTTAGTGAATATAGTTGCAGTTCTTAACCTTTCAATTAATTCATTTATTAGTGGAAGAGGATAACGATTTTTAATAGTTATTTTATTTAAGGCTCTGTAATCTATAATAGGACGGATGGTTTGGTCTTTATTCTTCACAAAGAAAATACTAGAAGCAGCAGGAGAGGTCGAGGGTCTGATGAACCCTTTGCGTAAATTTTCATTAAGATATTCTTTTAAAATTTCTAACTCCTTTTCAGAGAGTGGATAAATATGACCATAAGGAATAGGAGCTCCGGGTATGAGATCTATTGGGCAATCATATACCCGATGAGGAGGAAGTGTTTCTGCTTCTTTTTTACAAAAGACATCTGCAAAGTCGGAGTAGAATGGAGGTATAACTGGTTCTACAGTAGTATGGAGAATAGGAATGTGTTGTAAGCACGTTTTTTTACAGAAATCAGAAGCAAAGGAGATGGAGAAAGGAGACCACTTAATTAAAGGATCATGGTTTTTAACCAATTAATTCCTAGAATGACGGGATAAAGTGGAGATTTAATAATATCAAATGTAATGAATTCGAAATGTACGTTGTTGGTAATCATTCTTAGAGGGATTGTTTCATTTTTGATGGGTCCTGAGGATATAAATGAACCGTCAATAACCCTGATTGGAATAAAGTTGGTTTTTTGAACACAAGGAATTTTATTTTTTGAAACAAAAGAAAAATCAAGAAAAGTTCCATTAGCACCAGAATCAATGATGGCCTCAGTCACGATTCTTTTTGTATCCCACTGTAATATGAGAGATATAGAAAAATAAGTAGATGTTTTTCTTTTTTGAAAAACGTTCAATATAGAGGTAGATGAATGAAGCTTACCACCTTTTGAATGTTTCAGTAGAGGACATTCGGAAATTAGATGTTCGTTCGAGGCGCAATACATACATAAGTTTAGTTGTCTCCTTCTTATTCTTTCTTCAGAAGTAAGAGGACTTTTTATTATACCTACTTCCATAGGTTCAGTTTGTGGAGGAATTTTTTCAGGTAATTTTAGAGTAGTGAAAGGTTTTCTCCAGGTATAATTAGTAAGAACCTTTTCAGCTTTTCTTTCCCTTAGACGTCTATCAATACTGATGGACAGTTGAATCAATGCATTTAAGGTAGGAGGAAGTTCTGTACGAGAGAGTTCATCTTTCACAGCTTCAGATAATCCGAGACGGAATTGATTGCGTAAAGTAATGTCATTCCATTGGGTTTCTGTAGCCCATCTTTTGAATTCTGCAATATAATCTTCAACAGGTCTATTCTTTTGGTGTAATGTTCTGATGGTTAAATCAGCAGTAGTTTGTTTAAAAGGATCTTCATATAATAAAGACATAGCTTCAAAGAACTCATCCAATGAATCTAATATGGGATCATCATTTTCCAAAAAGGAATGGGCCCAGGCCATAGGTTCACCTCTTAAAAAAGATATTACTGAACAGACTTTGGATCTTTCGGTGGGATAAGATCTAGGTTTTAAAGCTATTAGTAATTTGCAAGAATTCAAAAACTCTCTGTACTTTGTTCTATCTCCATAAAATTTTTCTGGATTACAGACAGCAGGATCACCAGCCGATTGAAGAGCGGCATGAGGGAGATGGTTTTGCATGTCTCTGACATAGGTTAATATTCTCTCATTCGTGATTTGCAGTTCTTGTAACCCTTGAGCAATCGTATCCACTCTATTGGTTAGAGCAGTAACTTGTGAGTTAATATCTGCTGGTTCCATTGAAAAGGCTGGATTATTCTGTGATGGGATTGTGTAATATCCCTTTAATTGGAACTCAACTGCAGAAACAATAATTACACCTCCTTTATATTGAAGTAAACAAGCTTGACTGTATCTTTAAATACACATGCAGGAAGGAAAGCAATGCTAGTTCCAACTTAATTAAGATGGAATGATTTATTAGTATAATGATAAATAAGCTGGACAGGTTGCAATTAATAATAAATGATATTTGCAGGAGAAATAAGACTTAGTAGTAATCCCTTATTGACAAGAGAGGAATGAAGTGAAATAATTAATATGAATTGGTTTCCTTGGAGAAAAAGGATTACTTAACTTAGAGGTAGTTCTGGTATTGGAAGGGTTAATTCACCCAATGGAGGAGAGATTATGACTCTCTATGAATAAGCTGAGCGTTAGGAGTGGAAAATAAGGAAGTCCGTTTTTTACAAGCCGAGGTCTGGGAGTGGAGAAGGTAGAAGTCCGTTTTCCAAGCCGAGGTCGAGAAGTGGGGAAGGTTGAAATCTTGTTACAAGCCGAGGTCGAGAGACGAGTGTAGCCGGTAGCATTCAATAGAGCAGCTGATCTCAATGCCGTACCTGCGTGAATAATCCAGCCCCTTGAATCTGGCGCGGTCTTCCTAAGTATCGTGGAAGGACCGCGTCAGAGAAAAGGGGCGGGGCTAAGCGCCGTGAACCCGGAAGTGGGTTCCGGCGGCAGTATGGATGATAGAGTATACCTGACAGGTATAATCCCCACTGTGGATTCTTTTGGAGTAGTCCTCACTGGAACTTAAAACTGGATGTCAGGTAGAAAATATTTAAAAAAATTAAAAAAAGTAAAATGGCACACTCACAGTGGAAAGAGCCCAAAATACCTTTATTAAAATACAATGTAAAACAAACAGTTAAAATATCCACAATGCGTTTCACCAAAGTGGCGTTCTCAAGTGGAGGTAGAAAAATCATACCTGGCAGGTTTCTATAGGTAGTTTGAGTGTGATTTCTTTAAATTTGACGGTGTGTGGCAATATCCCAGTGAGTGACACCAAAAATTACAAATACTCAAAACACCTTGTGTGGGTATTCCCTTTATCCCCACATAAACACAGAAATATACATACAATATAAGGTGGAGTATATAAAGAGTGGTTCTTCCAATGTTAGGTTCAATAGAATAATATCCTTTAGCAATTCCCTAAATTGGAACATAAATGAGAAGAGAAATAGTGCAGTATTGCCAATACACAATATATATATGGTGTATTGGCAATACTGCACTATTTCTCTTCTCATTTATGTATCCTTTAGCAATTCCCTAAATTGGAACATTGTCAGGTATACTCTATCATTCATGCTGCCGCCGGAACCCACTTCCGGGTTCACGGCGCTTAGCCCCGCCCCTTTCTCTGACGCGGTCCTTCCACGATACTTAGGAAGACCGCGCCAGATTCAAAGGGCTGGATTATTCACTCAGGTGCTGCATTGAGATCAGCTGCTCTACTTGATGCTACCGGCTCCACTCCTCTCCCGACCTCGGCTTGTAAACAGATTTCTACCTTCTCCACTTCTCGACCTCGGCTTGTAAAACGGACTTCTACCTTCTTCACTCCCAGACCTCGGCTAGTAAAAACTGACTTCTACCTTCTCCACTCCCAGACCTCGGCTAGTAAAAACGGACTTCCTTACTCTCCACTTCTAACGCTCAGCTTATTAATAGAGACTCCTAATTTCTCCTCCATTGGGTGAATTAACCCTTCCATTGCCAGAACTGCCTCTAAGTTAAGTAAACCTTTTTGCCAAGGAAACCAATTCATATTAATTAATTTATACAGTATTTAAATTTCACTAAAATTCTCTCTTGTCAATAAGGGATTGCTAATAAGTCTAATTCTTCCTGCAAATATCAATTTATTCTAATTGCAAGCCTGTCCTGCTTCATTAACATAATTTTCATAAATCATTCCATCTTAATTAAGTTGGAACTAGCATTGCATTTCTTCCCTGCATGTGTATTTAAAGATACAGTCAACCTTGTTCACTTCAATATAAAAGGAGGTGAAACTTATTGTTTCTGCAGTTGAGTTCCAATTAAAGAAGTATTACAAATAAGTATCACAAACATAAATGAGAAGAGAAATAGTGCAGTATTGCCAATACACAATATATATATGGTGTATTAGCAATACTGCACTATTTCTCTTCTCATTTATGTTCCAATTTAGGGAATTGCTAAAGGATATTATTCTATTGAACCTAACATTGGAAGAACCACTCTTTATATACACTCCACCTTATATTGTATGTATATTTCTTTAAATTTGACGCATAAATGACATCATAATTGATTTTATATATATATATTTTTTTTAAAAGATGAAAAAAAGGTGTAGAATGAAATCGATTTCATAAAATCAAAATCAATTATTATTGTTTTTGTGGTGCCAAGGGAGGAACTCCGAATATCGAATCAAATGTATTTGTGCTTCCATCCTGTTATATGTTTGTTTGATGGAACGTTCGAGATACTGAATTCAGCCAAACAGCCAGTTAGACATAAAATAGAACAATTAGCAATTAGTCCAAAATTAAATTCACAAGTCTGCCAGAAATACCGACTCAGAAATGAAAAAACATAGATCCATACTTGACAGAAAAGAAATGCAGAGACAATATGGCTAATTAACAAACCCTTAGAATAAACAGGCAAATAACTAAACAACCAAAAAAACTGAAATAAATATGAATACTTGGTGTGTGCGTGAAAAATAGGAATAGTCAGGAACTAAGATAGTCAAAAAATAAAAATAAAAGAAACAATAAATCTAAATGCCTTTTATTTACAAGAAAGGACAAAGGGAATAATATGAATGTGACTTAAGTAGGGTAAGGAGAAGTAATGTAATTCCTGCGCCAAACCCTTCAGGCATTGTGATGTATTCACACCATCAAATTGATAAAAGTGAGGAGGATTATATGAAGAGGTTGGTGTGTATCCAACTTCTAGTCTGATGGATGGTAAACGTGATGCACGCAATGACATACAGCTAGATTTGAGCAAACCCGGACTGTAAAGTTTGGGTTCGTACCGAACATTATGTTTTTTGGATCCTGGACCCGAACACGGACATATCACTGTATGTTTGGGTTGGAGTTCGGTGTTCGGCGATTTAATGGCGCATTTTTCAAAGGCTGCAGGGCAGCCAATCAACAAGCGTTTGACTTGTGTGCCCTTAGAAGCCATCACAGCCATGCATACTAATGGCATGGCTGTGATTGGCCAGTGCAGCATTTGACCCAGCCTCTATATATAAGCTGGAGTCGCGTAGCGCCGCACTCACATGAGGTCTTATCTGAGAGTCAAATAGAAGTGTCAAATACTGCTGTCACATTGCAGTTTTAAAACTTAAAATATTTTGGGTGCTAAAAAGTACATTAGTAGGGTGCACTTCACATCTGAGAGTCAAATAGAAGTGTCAAATAGTGTGCTTACTGCGCAGTTGTAAAAATTCTAATTGTTTTGTTGCTAAATTGCTAAATAGTACATTTTGGGGCCTGCTCTTCATATCTGAGAGTCAAATAGAAGCGTCAAATAATGCGCTTACTGCGCAGTTGTAAGCATTCTAATTGTTTTGCTGCTAAACTGCCAAATAGTACATTTTGGAGGTGCACTTCATATTTGAGAGTCAAATAGAAGCGTGAAATAGTCCGCTTACTGCGCAGTTGTAAAAATTCTAATCTGTTTTGGTGCTAAACTGCTAAATAGTACATTTTGGGGCCTGCTCTTCATATCTGAGAGTCAAATAGAAGTGTCTTATAGTGTGGTTACAGCACAATTGTAAACATTCTTACTTTCTGTGTGCTAATCTGCTAAATAGTAAATTTGGGCCCTGCACTTCATATCTGAGAGTCAAGTAGAAGCGTCAAATACTGCGCTTACAGCGCAGTTGTAAACATTCTAATTGTTTTGGTGCTAAACTGCTAAATAGTAAATTTTGGGGGTGCACTTCATATCTGGGAGTCAAATAGAAGTGTCAAATAGAACGCTTACTGCGCAGTTGTAAAAATTCTAATTGTTTTGGTGCTAAACTTCTAAATAGTACATTTGCGGCCTGCACTTCATATCTGAGAGTCAAATAGAAGCGTCAAATAGTGCGCTTACTGCACAGTTGGAAAAATTCTAATTGTTTTGGTGCTAAACTGCTAAATAGTAGATCTAAGTGATAGAAAACAGATTGATATTTTCTGCACTAGAAATTACCAGATAACAAGCTGCTATATTTAAACCAGTTATCAATAACTAAGAGGTACTTAAACAATATTGTAATTCTGGGGCAATACCCTCACAAGTCAAACTGAGAGGTCAGTTTATAGGGAAAACTGTTGCCTGGATACAATTCTAAAACAATTTCCATATGTCCTTTGCAGACTTTACATACTGGAAAAACACAGGTGCCAACTGCTGTGGCTTTCTGCAGTGTGCATACTGGCAAAGAGGGCAGGGTTGAGGAGTGGGTGGAAAATGATGTGGAGGATGATGAGGTCCTAGACCCCACATGGAATCAAGGTCATGTGAGTGACGTGTGCAGTTTGGAGGAAGAGGCGCTGGTTGCACAGGGGCACCAGCACCTAGCGCTCATTGGCATGTAGTAGCTTGAGAATTACCAGTTATCCAAGTAATAGATGTAGCGATCGAAGGATCCATAATAAAGTTGAGCGAATCCAAACTGCAAAGTTAGGGTTCGTACCAGATTTAACGATTCATTCGTAGTTTCACAGTCAGGTGGACAGTCCGGTGACTGTCTGGGCGGCCGGGATCCAGTATGCCTGCTGTTGAAGTTAGGAGTCACAGTGTGGAATGGATTAGCAGGGTCTGGTGCAGGGTAACCGCACGCCCCCTGATGTTGAGCACCAGCGTTTGTGCGGTCACATACCAGGACCCTGATGCAGCTTCAGTACAAAGAGTACTGGATACCAGAAGCCATCACCAGACTGATCCGCAACTTGGAACAGAATGTGACATTCACTGTAGCATCTGTGTGCGCTTTCAGCGTTCTCACCCTGCTGCTGCTCACCTGTCTGTGGTGCAGCGTAACTTTGGCCTTCCCGCTCACTGACTCATATGCGACGTGCCCACAAGGTGGAACTCCACCTTGCACATCCTGGAGAGACGGTTTGAGCAGCAGCAGGCGATAGTGGAGTTTCAGCAGCAGCACGCACGGGTCAGTGGCTCTGCACCAGACTTGCTCTCCAATTGATCAGAGTTAAAAGATTTCAAGTGGACTCATTACAATTACAGGGCCTCTAAAGAGTCCTCCATTGTTATTTGTCGTCACTAACTTCCCGCATCGGGAGTGGGTCATTTGCGCGCCTGTTGCTGTCCTTGCATGTGGTAGCCGTTTGTCAGGGTCCCTGTACGGAATCAAACCCTGATTCCCCATTACCTGTGGTCACCATGGTAGGCGCAGTCAATGGCATCGAAAGTTGATATGGATTGACATACGAATGCGTCGTCGCCTTCTCGTTGGGAAGCACATTGAAAAAGTGCTCTAGCATGACGAGCTGGGTGATCTCCTCCAGGAACTTGGCTTGATGGGAGTTGAGCCAATTCTGGGTGGCCTTTGTGATGCCACGGTGTATACCCAGATATATCAGAGCTGCTGCAGAAAGTGCAGGTCGTCAGTGCACGCTTTTGGCGTTCTCACCCTGCTGTAGCTTGCCTGTCTGCGCTGCAGCGTAATTTCAGCCTTCCCGCTCACCTCCTCATAAGACTGTGTGAGCAGCAGCAGGCGATAGTGGAGTTTCAGATGCAGCATGCACGGGTCAGTCGCTCTGTGGAACAGTTTTCTTTTTTTGTATGTCCCAATATTTTGGGGGCTACCCCAATTAAAATAAAAAATAGATATATATAAACAGTGTTGGCTACCTCCTCCTCCACCGCCGCTTCCACGGTCACCACCTTCTCAACCTATGGGTCACTTAGTATAAACTATGTACACAATAGCAGAGGCTTGTGAAGGCCTTTTCTCCATGCATCAGGAGTTGAGCATTTCTCCATGCATCAGGATTGCAAGAAATGCACCGCAGGCCACACATGTTTCTTTTTTTGTATGCCCCAATATTTTGAGGGCTACCCCAATTAAAATAAAAAATATATATATATATAAACAGTGTTGGCTACCTCCTCCTCCTCTTCCTCCACCGCCGCTTCCACCTACACCGCCACGGTCACCGCCTCCTAAACCTCTGGGTCACGTAGTATAAACTATGTACACAATAGCAGAGGCTTGTGAAGGCTTTTTCTCCATGCATCAGGAGTTGAGCACAGTTTGAACAATGATAGAGAATACCCTGCTCTCCAGCCCTCTATCAAATGGATAATTCTGGTGATCCTCCTGACAGCCATGCTTTAGATTTTGATTTATGTTCTTCCAAAGCTAAAATTAAAGATTCCATCTAGTGCTATTTTATGGCTCAGTTGTATTTTAATTTTTGTTATTTTAAGTGATTTCCCTATCCACATTTGTTTGCAGGGCACTTGTCCTACTCTTACCCCCATTTTACTTCCTTTTGCAGCCCTCTAGCCCTTTCCAGGACTTTTTTAGAGGCATTTTTGTGGCCAAAAGTTTGGGTCCCCATTGACTTCAATGGGGTTCTGGGTCAAGTTCGATCACAAACCCGGACTTTTTTTCAAACTTCGGCCGAACCCGCCGGACCCGAACATCCAGGTGTCCGCTCAACTCTACATACAGCCAATAACTCAAATGGGCTTTATTGGGAATTTTACCATGATTTACACAGCATTACAAAAGTTAACTTACAAAAACAAGCATGTGCTGGCTGCATAAAAGTCTACCACCAAGTCAATTTTGTGATTATGATTATGCTTGTAAATATTTTTGGCTAAGACTCTACCAATCCTGTGATCCTGCTATTTTTTTTAAATTTTTTGAGAAAATTGCTCAAGCACTTGGAGGAGAACAGATGATCAATGAATCGACAATGCATTTAAGATAGATAAGGTCAAATTTGTTACTGGCATTCACTCTGGGTAAATCCCAGAAGCAGGCCTTCTTCCTGCAGTAACCATTTACAGTGCACAATGAAGGACACCCCCTATTTCAATAATTTAAAAATGAATTTATTCCTTTTATTCCATAAAAGTAGGGAATATATGAGAGCACACAATGGTGATGTCTAATGTGTCTGTGCCCTATGTCACTTTCTTAGAGACTCTAATGAGATAGCACATGGCATGTGGTGAATTGCCCTGAATCTCATTTTATGGATCAAGCAGATTACACTTGTCCCATTGATATTTTTTTTATTTTTTTTATTTGTTTATTGGTATTTTTTAAAATATATTGTACATACATATAAAACATATAACAAACAATAAATTGTATACAAAAACAATTGCAGAGAGGCATATACATAGTATTGCACAACTTGTATCTCAATAACAATATTAAACATTTTAACTGTTCTCCACAAAATATACTTCCAACCTATAAGCTTCAGTAGAGAAAGAAAGTGCCGAGAACAAAATGACCTTCACTTTCAACTCTACTACTTAACTATTACTGAACACTTAAACAAACAAACAAACCAACAATGAAGTTGACATTGCTTTCTTTAATATTTATTATACCATTCCTAATTCCTATTTGCTACCACCTTTTCAGAGGGCTCCTATTTACCGTTAAGTAAACTAACCTATATTGGATTTTCGAGGACCTTTATCCAATTATCCCATATCTCAAATAAGCGAGTATTGATATTTAAACTAGATGCTATACCCCTTTCCATTTTACATTGGGTTATAATAATTGCCTTAATGAGTGGCCATGAATCAATTAAAGTTTTTTTTCCAGTTTTTTGCTATGGACATCTTAAAAGCCATCAGAGCATGTATCAGCAAATATTTCTTGTCTTTAGTTAGTTGCAGTAAATTTAAATGTAAAAGCAATGCGTGATATCCAAAAGAGTATTTATATAGCCCGTAAATTGATCCCATGCTGCTTTAATTGGAGGGCACTCCCACCATATATTCAATTCATTTGCCCCCTCACTACCGCATCTCCAGCAGCTAGAGGACTCTTCCTTAGAGAATTTCTGGATCTTATTTGGTGTCATATACCAACGATTTAGAAGCTTATAATGAGCTTCCCTGATGTTTAAACAATGTACCATAGAGTATACTGTTTGAAGGGCCCTATTCCATTCCTTTATATTAATTTCTATTGATAAATCTCTTTCCAATTTACTTTTTGCTAAGGGCTGAACAAACCCTTTTATACTTTTCATAATCACAACACATCTGGTTAATATTTTTGTATCCTTCTCTGAGTCTATTAATACATTTAGTTTGGCTACTGAGGGTGACTTCGAAATACTGCCAAGGAAACTTTGTAAAAAACTCCTAATCCTTATGTAGTTAAAGATCTGTGAGTGTGAAAGACCATAGATTCTCCGTAACTCAGAAAAGGAGATAATCCTACTCTCCTCTAATATATCCGCTATTTTTTTAATCCCCTTACCAAGCCATTCTGTTGTATCCAGATTTTCCATCCAGAACTCTAAACTTTTAAAGGGCGTAGCGGGTAATATTTTATTTTTTAGTTCTAATTGATTTTTAAAATAAGTCCAAAATTTTACTGGGGGTTTTGTTATCAAGTTATCCGTAGAACACCCTATATTTCTATTTGGGCTTTTATTTCTTAAGGGCCACATTAGCTCTACATTGTTATATGGAGTAGTAATGTCTTCCCCCTCTATTTCAAACCAGTTCTGTAAGATTTTATCCTGTTTAATTAGGGGGAGGGTGTGCATTAACTGAGCTGCTTGATGATATAAGAAGATATTTGGAAAACCAATACCTCCATGCTTATGTTTCATATACAGAAGATCCTGACCTAATCTGGGTTTCTTCTGAAGCCATACATAATCTCTAAAAATCTTATTTATAAGTTTAAGTCGTTGGGGCTGCATCTGTATTGGAATCATCCTCAGTAGATATATAAACCTAGGGAAAATATATGCCTTAATAAAGTTGACCCTACCCCACCAGGATAGCTGCATAGAGTTCCACTGTTTTAACGATTGAGTACATTCTCCAATCAAGGGGATTACATTAGCCATCATTATGTTTCTGGGATTTTTCACTATATTAATCCCAAGGTAAACAAATCCCTTTTTTTCCCATCTAAAGGCAAAAAGTTTAGTTAAATGTTGATAATCTTCCTCTTGCATATAGAAGGGTAATACCGTCGTTTTTTGAACATTAAGTTTATAATTTGACAGTCGGCTATAACTTTCGATTACCTGCATAGCTGCTACTACTGACTTGGTTGGGTTAGTTAGGGTTAACAGTGTGTCATCCGCATATTGGCATATCTTAAAATGTTTATCTCTCTTTTTAAACCCAGTTATTTCTGAGTTTTTTCGTATTTCGTATGCCAGAGGTTCAGCTGTTAGGATATAGAGCAACGGGGATAAAGGGCAACCTTGACGGGTACCATTCGATACCGTAAACCAATCAGACTTAATCCCCCCCCAACAATCCTGCTACATGGTGAGAAATAGCAGGCCAGAATTGCCGGCATAATCCGCCCTGCAAACCCAAAAGCTTTAAGAGTTGCTTGCATAAAATTCCAACCGACCCTATCAAATGCCTTTTCTCTATCTAAGGCCATCGTTAAAAAAGGAATTTTGTTCAAATGAATCTTAGTGAATATGTTTAGTATCTTCCTAATATGATTAGAGGACGTCCTACCTGGTATAAACCCTACCTGATCTTCTGAGATCAGGGAGGAGATTATTTTCTTAATTCTTTTAGCGATGATCGAAGTGTAGATTTTATAATCATTGTTTAATAAAGCTATTGGGCGATAATTAGTAATTTCTTCTGAATTTTTATTGTTTTTTAAAATAGGTAGAATATTTGCAGCCAACATTTCTTTAGGTAGTTTACCTGTAATCATCGCCAAATTATAACAATCTGCCATTCTCTGAATCAACCTGTCCTTATATGTTTTAAAAAAGAAATCTGTAAACCCATCTGGGCCCGGTGCTTTATTTTTTTTCATAGCATCAATAGCGTCAAGGACTTCTTGAAAAGAAATCTCTGTATTCAATTGTTCTAATTGAGAATCATCTAGCCTGGGCAGGTGAATGTTCAAAAAATATCTATCCATCTCCTCTTGGGAAGATGTAGCTGGTAGATTATACAGTTTATAATAATAATTTCTAAATGCTTCTCCAATTTTTTTAGGGTCTAGTATTATTTCATTTCCCTGTTTTATTTTTGTAATTAATTTATTTTTTTGTAAATTTTTAACTTTATTGGTGAGTAATTTATCGGCCTTATTTCCCCTGTAGTAATAATTTATTTTCATATACTGGAGGTTTCTATTTATTTTAAATATCAAAATTTCATTTATTTTATTTTCTATTATCCTAATTTGATTCGAGATAATTCTTGTAGGTGACG